GCAACTGAGATTCAGAAAAAGTGATTTCCTGAAGTCACTGCTGGTCAGTGGCGGCCGTGCGTGCAGGCTTCAAACGTCCATCCAACACTTAGAACGTGCCACGCACATCCTGGCCGCGGGGACATCGCTGCGGGGAACCAGACGGCAGTTCTACCCCAGAGGGCCCCCGCTTCACGGGGAAGCCCCCCCCCCCCCCGCCCGCTATCTACAGCTACAGGGTAGCCTGAGAAGAAGGATGAGGGCAAGTGGGGCCCGGGACCTCTCTGCGTCCAGAACGCCCTCCCCACTCTTCCCCACAGGTTCCTGGAGGATGGGCCAGGAGGGAGGCTCTCTGAACCGGGAAGGCTCAGGCAGAGAGCGCCTCCCCACGGCTGTCTCCCCATCCTCTCCCCACCTGCCCTCACCTGTCCACTTTCCTTTACCTCCTGGGCTTTTGTTCATGCTGCTTTGGTGGGAGGTTTGGAAGTTTGGGCAGGAAAGGGGGACCCCTGGAAGTTCTGTCCCCCTCTCCCTACAACCCCCCACTGCTGTTTACTGTGCAGCACAGAAGCCTGGCGATTGCTGTAGAGACAACATGGTGCCCGGGAAGGATGGGGCCTCAGCTCCAAGGGAAATGGAGTGGAGAGAAGGCCATGGTTTTACTTTCCTTCCTTCCTTCCCTCCTCCCTTCCTGCTTTTCTTCTGTCTTCTTTCCTTTATTTCTGGTGGGAGTGGGTGGACATAGAGACTTGAGCGTATTTCTGGGCTGATCAGCAGGGAAGAAGTAAGCGATTCAGTTGTGGGGTGATGGAGCCTGCTCCTTCCATGGGCCGGAGGGGTGGTCACCCCAGCACAGAGAAAGATTGACCTTGGATGAGGGCAGGGGGCGGGGGAGGCAGAAAGCTTGGTGATTCAATTAAATTGAGTCAACATTGGCTTGGGGCCAGGGGTCCTGGCGCAGAAGGTCACAGGCAAGTGGGGCGGACAGGAGGGACTGATCTAGAATCAGGTTCCTGACAGAGGGCTCGGCAAGATGCTGCGGAGTGTGGAGCGCAGGGGGAGAAGTGCCCGAGTCTACCTGGGAAGGTGGCACAGAGAGATGGAGGGTGTCCCAGTGACCAGCGTGGGTGCTGAGGGGGGAACAAGCCCGGCTGTTTGGGGGCGGCGGAGCGTCTGGAGGGTGGGGCATGGGAAAGGATGTGGCAAGAGTTGCAGCAAGACGACCAGGCTGGCGGGGTGAAGAGTCACACGGCGGGGGTTGGGGGCGGGTCGCAGTCTTGATGTAGGAGTTTGGCCTTTTTGCACACAAACACCTGCAAATCAAGTAGCCAACAAGCTTTCCTCAGGGTGCAGCTGATCTTTGGCAGGGCCACGTGGAAGATGTAACATCGGGGTGGGACTGGACTTTGCCTCCTCTTGTCTGAATTACCACTTGCTCAAGCCTGAAACCCTTAGGGGGTCATGCGACTCTACAGGAGACCGGAAAATGTGAGCCCTGCCTGGGGGAGGAGACTGGGGCTCTGTGCGTACAAGCTGTGTGCCTTGACAAGTCACCTGAGCTTCCCGAGGCACAGCGTGTCCCCATGTGACCTCAGCATTGACAGCCCCTGTCCCAGCGGGTGGCCTGGACTCTGCTCCCTGGCCTTGTTCAGAGCAGCCTAACTTCCCAACCTGATGGGACCTGTTTGCGGCTCTGACAAGTCTGTGGGCTGCGCGATAAGATGCAGGTTAAACTGCTCTGCCATCTCCTACCTGGTGACCCTGGGCCCCTAAGCAGGCCTCTCTCTTCTCAGCTGCAGAATAGGGGTAATGAGTCTGTCTCGCAGGACGGGGTCCCCTTAGAAGAAGGACTTGTCACCCTCCTCCTTTCCTGCAGCCTAGCATTTCTCAGCAGGGCGCCCTCAGCCTTTGGAGGGCACTTGTTCAGAGAGCCAGACACTCCTGCCCATGGTGGGATGTGTGGCACCCCTCGTACCTGCCCAGTGGTTGCCAGCAGTGGCCACCCAGTGTTTGTGACAGCCTCCAAATGCCCCTGCACGTTTTCATTGCTGCCGATTCAATTAAGGATATGTTTACTGAGTGCCAACTACAGGCAAGGAAGGATGCTGGGATCACCCTTGAAAGAACTTATGTGTAATGGTGGCAGGAACAGTGGCCTGGGAGGCAGGAAAACAGATTTCCTGTCCCAGGTCTGTACAAATCATTTAATCTTTCTCTGACTCTGAGTCTGTGTCGGTACTGGATGGACACCTGTGTTCAAGGCCGTGGCTATGTTTCCAGAGCGCTTACAGTTGAAGATATAGTGCATTGGAGGAAGGTAGAGAAAGTGCTATGGAAATTCAGAGGAGGGAAAGATTATATCCAATTTCAAGAGTCAGGAGGGCTGCTTGGAAGAAGCGGGTGGCTCTCAAAAGTTGGGTAAGCGTTGCGTTTGAAAAGGCAATGACAAATGTAATCAAAGGTTGACATGTGCCAGGCACTGTCCTCAACTCTATAGAAACATCTTCTTTTATGGGCCCCACAAAGCCCTGTGAGGCCTATACTGTTATCTTTAGTATACAGATGAGGACGTTGAGTAATTTTCTCAGAACCACAGCGAGTTACTGACTGTGTCAGTTAGCTATTGCAGCGTAACAAACCACCCCCAAACTCAGTGGCTTAAAAAACAGTATCTATTTCTTATTATTCACGAGTCTGTGGGTTGGCTTGGGTCTGGCTCGTCTGGGATGGTCTTGGGTAGGACAACCAGACTCTTCTACATGGCCTCTCATCCTTCCGCAGTCCAGCCCAGGCTTGTTCTCATGGAGGAGGGAGAGGTTTGAGAGAGGAATTGTGCAAGGCCTTCTGCAGCCGAGGCTCAGAATGGCACACCGTTACTTCTACACATTCTATTGGCCAGAGCAAGTTACAAGGCCGGCTCAGATTCAAGGGGAGGGGAAGGGGCAGGAGAAGCTGCAGAGTCACATTGCTAGGGGCACGGAGACCAGGAGAAGGGGAGACTTGGGCCATTTCTGCCTTGTGTCTACTACAGTCGCAGAGCAGGGCTGCCTCCCTGGTGTGAAGGCTCCGAGCTGTGGGGTTCACTTCTTCCAGGGGCGAGGAGACATTTAGGACAGAGGGAACTGCACAAGCAAAGGCAAGGGGGCAAAAAGCTCGGGAAAAGTCTGGAAAACACTAGATGGTTCATTTTGGATCTTGTGTATGTATAAATAGCAGAGAGGAAGGCAGGTGGCGCCGGCTGGGTCAGTCCTTGGAGAATCTGAACACAAAGCTAAGCTGCCTTGACTTCATCCTGCCTGGGAGATGCCGCAGAAGGGTTTTTCTTAAGCAGATCTCTAAGAGCATGACCATGTCCAGTAAAATTCACCCTTTGAAAGAATACAGTTCTATGAGTTTTGACAAATGCGTGTGGTCAGGTAATCACCAAAACAAGCAAAATATAGGATGGTACCATCGCCCCCAAAAGTTCCCATGTGCCATTTGTAGTCAGTTTCCTCCCCTCCCCCAGCCCCTCGCAACTACTCTTCCCACCATCCCTATAGCTTTGCCTTTTCCAGAATGTCCTGTGAATGACATCATGCCATATATAGAATTTTGTGTCTTTTCTTTCCCATAACACTCTTGAGATTCAGCCGTTCTATTGTGTATATGAGTAGTTTGTTGCTGTTTAATGCTGAGTTGTACTCCGTTGAATGGACAGACCACTGTTTATTTCCAAGGTGAAGGACATTTGAGTTGCTTCCAGTTTGAGCAATTTTGAATAAAGCTGCTATAAACAGTCTCGTACAAGTCTTTGTATAGACATATGTTTTTATTTCTCTTTGGTAAATATCTAGAGTAGAATTTCTATGTCACTTGGTAAGTGTATGTGTAACTTTATAAAAAACTGCCAAACTGTTTTCTGAAGTGACTGTGCTGTTCCATATTCCCTCCAGCAATGCAGGTGGAGTCTAATTCCTTATTTTAGCCATCCTAATAGGTGTATTTCCTTCCGGCTTGAATCAGCATTTCTCCCATGACAAGATGTTGAGCATCTTTTCATGTGCTTCCTCCATGTATCTTCTTTTGCACATTTAAAAAAAAATGGTAGTTCATTTTCTTCTATTAAGTTTTGAGAGTTCTTTTTATATTCTCAGCATACATCCTTTATCAGATATATGTTTTGCAAATATTTTCTCCCAGATACTCAGAAGGTTTTAATGGGAAGTGACACTTGAGTTTTAGAGGCATGCTCTGTGGCATGGTAGGGTGGGGGAGTTGGGGTTGAGGAGGGACAAGGAGGCCATCTTAATGGTGAGGTGAGAGCTAAGGCTCTGAGCCAGGACATGGGCAGTGGATGGGGAGGGGTGAAGAGCCAGAGGTGTGGAGACCTGCCGGATGGCAGTAAGTCCTGGCCAGTCCTCCCTCCCTCCGACTTCCCTTCCTTGGACCAATGTTTGTGGAGCACCTACCGAGCACCAGGGCATGGTCTAGGCAGAGGGGAAATAGCAATAAGGAAATCGAAGTCCTGTCTTCATGGAGTTTCCATCTCAGTGGGGAAGACAGACGCATAAATGTGTGTAACGTAAGGGCTGGTTGATGGTGTTCGACACACAAAGCAAAGTCTTCTTATTGAAACACCATCTTCCAATGGCTCCCCAGTGGCAACCAGAGCCTTCAGGGGTTCCACTCTGAGAAAGAATCAGAGCAATGGGGGGACACTAGACTGAGGTCAGGGGCTCTGGGCTGGAGTTCTGGCCCACACTCTCCCTTTCAGGGTTGGGCTGGATGATCTTTCAAGTGCTGGGGTTTTGTATGTGAAGTTCTTACAAACCAACCTGGGGGCTCTGATGAGCTAGACCAAGTACAAAGTAGAGGATTCTCCTCCTTATAACCAGTCTGTTTCATTGGAAATGCTCTGAAGGTCATCAATTTTGGCCTCACCCAATGTAGGATCCCCTGTGGGCGCCCCTCCAGGGATGGGGGCTCACTCCCTTCCAAGGGACTAGTTCCATTTTCTCTTTCTTTCTGTCTTTTTACAGGGAAAGGATCACGCCTTTTACTAAGGGAAAGTGCCCTCCAACTGTGGATTACAACTCAGATCCTACTCCTTAAAGCCACACGTGAAGGACAGCATGCCGTGACCGGGGGGCCCAGAGGCCTGAAGACAAATCTGGGGATGGGAGGGTAGGAGTGGGAATGGGGGATCTTGGAGAAAGGACACATGGGAAGGCCTGGAAGAGGGGGGAGATGTGGCGGGATCACTTTTGCTGGAGCCGTCTGCCTGGGGGTCATGATGTCTGCTGTGACAGCTGGGACCAGATGTATTTTGACATGAGAGATCAATCATCCTGAGAATTCAAATCGGCCAATGACGTGAACATGATGCACTAAAGGAGTGGACTGTGGTTGACACTCCTGGAACCCTTCTATTCTAAAGCCAAAGTGCTTGACTCTCTTTTCATTAAAATCCAAAGAGGGGCAGGAGAGTGTCGCATATGTCATTAGCAGCTGCAGGCCCCCTCCAGGAGTACTCCATCTCTGTCCCGGATGCTTCTGGGAGTTTGGCAGGGTCTCATGCTATGAGGAGGCTGCTGACCTCCAGGCAGTGTGTGGCCATAGGGAACAATCAACTCCACGCCCAGGTCAGCCTCATGGGCATGCAGTCTAGCCCAGAGCGGGTCTGTGGGGGGTGGTCACCTGATCCTGAGCTCCTTCCCTCACTGTTTTTGTCAGTGAGACATTGGGTGGGTTGGCAGGAGTCTGTTGTCTCTAGAGAAAAGGACACTGGCACCCCACAGCCTCAGTCACAAAACTCACATAATGATAAAAAATACTTCAAATGCTCTTCAGAGCATGAGTGCCTTACAGAAAGCCATTACTTTCTCACTCACGTCGAAATGACGGCTTTGGGATAAATAGGACTGTCTTTATCCACAGACGGCATCTATGTACAAAAAATCTTACTGAATCCTCAGAAAAGCTGATGACCCAAACTAGATGCAAACTAGATCTAATAAGTCAGTTTAGCAAGGTCTTAGGAAATAAGATCAATATATCAACATCAACTCTTTCTGTATACTAGCAATAAACAATCAAAAATTGAAAATTTAAAGTGCGTTTTATAATAGAATCAAAAGTTGATTCATCAGCTTTTCTGGGGATTCAGTAAGATTTTTTTGTACATAGTGTTAAAATTGGTGAAATTCAAGTAAAGTCTGTGTTTTAGTCAATATTATTATGCCCATGTTAATTTCTTGGTTTTGATCATTTCAGTGTGGCTGTGTAGAAGATGTTAATGTTGGAGGAAGCTGGGGGTGGGGAGTAGGGAACTCTCTGTACTAGCATTGCAACTTTTCTGTAAGTCAAAAATTAATTCCAAATAGAAAGTTAAAAACTACGTGCAATAAAACTTTTTTAAAAAGATCGCTTTGCCTTATAGAATAAGTACATTTTTCCCCAATATATATGTTAGCTGTCATATTTCTGACAGTCACTGTCACCATAGAGAAGGTCAGCAAATTTGGAATGCTGGCCTTTCTGTAAGACAAACCTGTGTAACAACTTTAAATCAGGCAATTCTTGTAAGTACTTTGCCATGAGGTACCAATGAACTTCTCTGTGTTACAAAAGTCACAAGTGCTGAGAAGGGACATCCGGCAACAGTGGAGTGACAGCTTCTCTGGCCGCCATGGAAGGGCCACGGACTTCACACCCCTCAGGAGCCACCCTCAAGCTCTGAATCGGGGATGCTGGAGTATAAACACCCAGCTGCCTCACCCCTTGTGGGGTACGACTTCAACGGGTGTGTTCCACACCACTTTGAGTCTCGCAGTGCAGGAAATCCACTTGCCCACAGTGGTGACCTGTTGATAATGCTGTCACCCCTTCTTCATCCTCCTACTGGTGTTTTCTTCACCTCCCAAATAAGCTCCTTGCGCTCAAATCCTTGTCTCGGCGTCTGCTTCTGGGGAAATCCAAATCAAAACGAGCGCTAATATTTTCTCCAGCATCCCTGTGGTTCACCTTGCCAGACCCCTGGTTTGGGCATCTCACTTTTGAGACCACTGCTCTACTCCACGACAGTAACTCCGTCTGTCTGTCTAGCCTCTCCTTGCACACCCACCCCCACGCCGGCCCCTCCCAGGGCAGGGCAGCCAGGATTGTAAAAGCATCCTTTGGATGTTGAGCTGAAATCTGACTCCTTGTGACCTTTGCCCTTTTGCCTGGGTTGGGCCATGAGAGGACATGGAGACCCGAGGTTGGTTAACTTGGCTCTGCTGAGGCCTCCAGCAACCTTCAGGGAAGGAAGTCAGGAGGGCTGGCCATAATGGCTGGGCTCCTGGTCCCACCCAGCTTGAACCACAGTAGCTCCATGTTTTTTATATGTTGGACTTTTCCTAAAAGCTTTTGTTTGGAAAAAAAGAGTTCCATGGGGCCGGGGAGTGGCAGTGGTGGGGAGTCTAACCACTACCAATTCTAGTTCAGTCTCTTGCCAGAATCTGCAGAAGACTGGGTTGAGCCCTTTGGCATTTAAATCTTATGAAAGTAACCTCAGGTTCTGGCATTTCTGTGGTTGCTTAAGAGGATCTTTGAGCACATAGTGCCGTAGACTAGAGATGCGTCTGCCTCCGCTCAACTCAGAGAGAGCTTCGCTGTGCCCTCAGGGAACTCACTTGACCTTTCTTGAGCTTCGCTTTCCTCATCTGTAAAATGGGAATACAAAGGGACCTGCCTTGGTTACATGACTGTGAGGACTAAATAAGATATTCTATGTTGTGTGCTACTCAAATGCAAGGTGATATTTGAGGCTTAAACTGCAAAATGTGTTCTATGGAACATTACAGATTTTTTCTCCTTTAAGGAGAATTCACAAAATCCAGATCTGAGAAGCTGAACAATAGGAAAAGGAATTTCCTAAAGGGCTTCTCTCAGATAACTGTAGGATGCGATCCCCACGTCACACAAAATAAGAAAATGTCCACTGTGGCTACTGCACATTTTCATCAAACTTCACTGCACTGAACTCAGCTCGCGCATCTCTGCCCCTTTAAGCTGGCAACTCTGTAACAACCAGGGCGAGCTAAGCTGCTCCAACCAATCGTCCCAAATCCGCAGCGACCCAGCTTCCGTCAAGGCTCCCTTCCTGCTCCATCACAGCCCAGGCCAGGGCTCAGGTGGGCTCCCTCGCACTGCGGCTCTGCCCCGGCCTGTGGCCTGGTTGTCGTTTGCGCCCAGCTAACAGGAGGGGAAGAGCCAGCAGAGCCTCTCATGGGAGCTTCTTATCACTTCTGTTCACAACCCAACTCCGACACGAGGACGCGCCTGACTGCAGGGGAGCCTGGGCAGTGTGGTCCAGGAGGGCGCTGGGCTGCAGCTGGAGGAAGGAGTTTTAGTGGGCAGCTGCGGTCTCCACCGTTGGTAGGTGAAGTAGTCTCAACAGGATTCATTAACTTGCCGTTATTTGTTAGGTCACAACCAAGTGAGGAGGCGGAGACTGCAGCCTGGAGCTCCTGACAACCGTGTCTGGTGCCTTAAAAAGCGCGGCCGCCACCCTGGTCTGAGCCGCCGTGGCCTCTCACTCGGACTCTGCTCCCGGGCCTCGTGGCCTCCACCTTCCCCTGCAGTCTGTTCTCCACCGTGCAGATGGGGCATCCTATTAACACCATGCCACATCACATTGTGACAATGACAGATCGAAAACCAGGGAAGAAAACCACCCAAACCCAACCGCCCTAAGAAACTTGTCACTTCCTCCATGTTGTCTCAGCCTGCCCCGGGGGGTGCAGGTCAGAGAGGGAAACTGAGCCGGTGAGTGGCACAGCCTGCACTTGAGCCAGGTCTGACCTCACTTTGTGGTCCCCAGAGCAAGAAATGACAAAGGCTAGTTTCCAGGTCACACTTTTATTTTCACAGAAGTAGTGGCCACACAGCCAAAGGGACATGAAGTGTTCTGGACAGTAGGCACGCCTGCGGCTATAAGAGCCTGCTAGCGGACACTCATGCCTTTCTCTTGGTCCGCATGATCAAGGAAAAATATAAAAATCACACAGGATACACGGCCACACCTATCCCCACCCCTCCCTTCCCTTTCAGTAAGATCCAATTAAATTATGCATCCTTCCAGCCGAAGCAGCTGGCTACAATCCTCATTTGACGGAAACCTCCACACAGCCAAGAAACGGGTCTCTAGGGGGAAGAGGCCTACTCTTTCACTTTGCACACACGCTGCTCCCTCACCACCCTAGTGCCATGCATAACTCCAGCCAAACCACCAAGTGGATGGACAGTGATGGGACCAGCCACAAGAAAAGGCCGGTAACTCGGCCCACCATGCTTGGAAGGCTGCCACTTTCCAGGCAAGATATTACTGGAGCAGAACACGAACCGGAGGCTGGTGCCATCCCAAGACCTTCCCTCCCAAGCCCCAGGTTCTGACGGTAAGGTAAGGTCTGACGGGCAAGATTTTGGTTTGTAGGACTAAGGATGACAGGCGCTGCCGGCACCCCTGGCCACACTGCCAGGGGCTGAGGTGAAATGATGGCGCCTTCTCTGCTGGGTTAGTCTGCTCCCTTAGCCATTTCTCCACGGCAAGTAGGATCAGCTTAGCGCTGAGGGGACGCACACATGCCCGCTGTGAGAGCCAATGCCAGGGTTCACAGGCTTTGCACACAAGCTCGAGGGAGGTTTCTTCTTATTTTTCTTACACCCTCTACAGAAGCCAAATGGGTCAGTGTGGTCCCTTTGCCTTCTGAGTGCGTGACTGCGCCCAGTGCACACAGGACCACGCTAGGACGCCCTGCAAGGTGCCAAGCCCGGGCGGGGGGTGGGGGGGGGGAGCGGGGAGGAGCTTCTGTCAGTCAAGATGTGACTCTGAGGATTCCGGCAACCTAAGTGCCAAGGCTGACACTTTCCTGCCTTTCTGAAAATGAGATGAGAGCTGGGCTTAGGCTGAAGGAAGGACCTTAAATGACAGACAACTCCCAAGTGTCCACTTGGATCATTTATTTTTCCTCTGACACAAATGAAGCTTTTCACAAGATTTGCAACCACGTGTCTAAGAAGCCATGCACTTCTACAGCAGGAGGGCCTGGGGGAGGTCTTGTGATGGAGGAGGAAATGCAGCTCAGAGAGACAAGTGACTTGCCCACGGTTGCACAGCTCGTTAACAGAGCAGGGACTGAAAGCCAGGTCTCCTGACTCCTGGTGCAATGCTCCCTCTCAGAATGTCACTGCTGACACAGCTCACTTAACTCCGGCTTCCCTTACATGACACAATTCCTTCTCAGGTTCTGGGTTTTCAGCTGAGGCTGGGCAGTTGTTAAGATGGAGCTGCATAAACAGCCAAGCTTTCCTAAGTGGGGAAGGACCTGGGGGGTCCCCTTCCCTCTGCAATGCAAATGGTGCTTACTTTTCTCTGAGCTTAGGATTTGTAAGGCACTAAAATTAACTACAGCTGGGGCAGGGGAAGTGCGACAAAAAAAGGGATGAGTGGTTCAGGAAATCAAGTTGATGCTCTTTTCTTTCAGCCCCACAGTGAGAATCCTCATGAGACCTGACAAAGGTGGGCTCCATTTCCCTGCATGGTGCCATCCACAGCTCCCCCACCGCGACCAAGCGGGTTCTGGGGACAGGAGGCATGAGGGGTTGGAGAGCTAAGAATGAGCCCAGGTCCTCTGGATCCAATTCAGGGCAGAAACCACTCACTCCACCTGGGCAGGTGTCCCAGGCCCAGGCCGGGACAGGATTCAGCCCTGAAATGTCTTCTCCAAGGGCATGGTCCTGAGTAGGCTTGGGCAATGGCTGGTGGGGGGAGACTGCAGGCCTGAGCTGAGGGAGGAAGGGGCAGGACGTCACCAAGGATGGCAGAGAGAACTTTGGACCTGGCTTTGGCACAGCTCATCTTGGGCCTGCCTGCCCCACCTGTGCCCTCCTGAGACCCAGGGACGGAGAGGAAGGCCGTCCTCTGAGAGCTCTTCTGGCTGCCTGCAGCAGTGGCAGTGCAGCTCTGGGGCGTCCCCTTCATCATTCCAGCAAACCTGTGCCCAGGTGACGTACCGCGGAGGCTCCTTGGCCTCAAGTGCTGAATCCAGAGCACTCAGTCAGCTGTGATGCTGAACGAGCAGCAACAATGATAGCTCCTGCTCATCCAGCATCTCCAGTGTGACAGGCCCCGGACTTGGATGATGACAGCCTGCAGGAAGATACTGTTATCCCCTTTCAATAGATGAAAAGCTGGGCTCAGAAGGGTTGAGTGACTTGCCCAGAGGCGCACAGCTACTGAGTGGCTGAACTGGGAACTGAACTCAGGTTTGTCTGACTCCAAGTCCCATGTCCTTTCCACTCCACTAGGCTGCCCCTAGAAGCTGGGAGCAAGCTGTGGGGGCTGTCTGGGTGGGATTTCTGGAGGGGTTTCTTTCTGAAATATGGATCTGGGAGAGCAGCCAAGCTTGCATGAAGGGAAGACGCTCCCCAGCCCTGGGGACAGGTCTCCCGGCAGGCTCCGGCTCAGTGCCTGGCGGCCTTGCAGATCTTGTCGTACACCTCCGGGAAGGCATCCTCGCAACCGAGCTGCTTGCGCAGCTTGTGGTACAGGGAGCCATCAAACATCTCCCAGAACTCCTCCCGGTTCATGTAGCAGTCGGCATAGAGCATCTGGAACCTGCAGGGCAGAGGCGGCCGTGAGCAGGCAGGGAAGCGGCGCCAGGGCCGTCCCCAGTGCGGAGCGCACTTGGCAGTGCAGGGTGGTGTGGGCGGTGGAGGAATTCTGGCCCTCACTCTGCAGATGGGAAACCCAGGCTCAGGGTGTTCAGTGGCTTAGCAGAGTCAGCAGTAGCACTCGGACTGCCGGCCTCGTGCTGCACTCCGTGCACCGCCTGCCTGCTCCCAGACGGGCTCCCGGCTGCTTTCTTTTCATTGACCTTCAATAAACTGCACGTATTTCAAGTGCACAGCGTGCCGAGTCTGACGTGTGTATACAACCTTGAAACCATCCCCTCAGCCCAGGTAACGAATGACCATACCCAGTACCCTCAAAACCTTCCTCGCGCCCCTGCCTTATGCACCGCCCTCCAGCACTCCGGGCCGATCTGCTTTCTGTCACCACTGATTCTGGAAGTTTATAGAAATGAAATCGTACAGCACTCCTGTCTCCCGGCTCATAATTATTCTGAGACTTGTCCCTGGTATGTCCATCACCGGCTAGTCCAGGCCCTCTTAGTCCGCCCTGGGCCTCTGTGTGGCTGTCACAGTCATGAACCCCTCCCTCCCCAGCTTTGGTCTTCCAACCTGGAGCGGCAGCCCCTGACCATATCTAAAACCGCCCCCCTCATCTGCCCAGTGGGGAGCAGCTGGCGGGACGTGTGTGTGTGTTCGCTGGGGGAGGGGGACGCAGGAAGACGAGAGGCAGGAAGTCCTGCATTCCGCCTCCTCACCATCTTTCACAAGGCACTGCCCGAATCAGAGGCTGCCCCAGCTACACAGGCCCTAGCGACCAGCTGGTGTGGCTCTGGAGCTGGCCGCCTTGGCCCTTCTCTGCTTCCCCTGGAGCAGTGTCCTGGCGCTGGCGGCAGAGGGACCGCGCACAGCCTGGGTCACTCACCCATGCACGCTTCGCACGAACTTCTCCAGCTGCCTCATGCAGGACCTGGCTTCAAAGTGTTTCACGCGCGGCTCCCCATACGCTCCAATGTCGATGTAGAGTTCGGTCTCGTCCCCCTTGGGGTGCACCAGGCCCGGCTGGCTGGGCAGGATGAACGGGCACAGCCAGATGGGGTAGACCTGGGTGGACCAGGGAGGGGGTGTTGGTGCTTTTTCTCCCACAGGGGACAGGCTCATGGGCGGCTCAGCCCACTCCTTCCTAGCCACAGGGAGGCTTGGCAGCGTCTCCAGGGACCCTCTCCTTGCTGCTCGCAGCCTCAGCCCACCCGCTAAGCCCCGGCCGAGAGCACCCCCCACCACACCAGAGGACCCGGCCTGGCCCTGGCTCACGTGGATGTCGTTTTGGAAGGTGTGCAGGGCCTGCTGCAGGCACTTCATGGGCACCAGCATGTCCTGCACCACATGGTGCTGCTCGTACAGCTTGCGCAGAGTCTCGCCCTGGGTCAGCTTCAGGAGGGAGATCTTGGGAGGCACCATCCAGCCAAAGAAGTAGCGGAAGACGGGGTTGTTGCCGAAGGGGATGATGTCCTGAGAGACAGAGGGTCGGGGAGAAGGAGGCGACAAGGGTTGAGTGTGTCCATGTGCTGGGGCAGCCTCGCCCAGTCTCAGCGCAAGTATGACTGGGAACACTCCTGCTATTTGGAGGGGCAGGTGGCCCCCAGGACTGTACTCAGTCAGATCTGGGTTTGATTCTCAGCTCTGGTGTTTTTACCAGCGGTGATGACCTTGGGCTAGTTACTTGACTTCTCTGAGCTTAGATTTCTTATCTGTAAAACGGGACCTGTGAGAATAATGAGATACCAAATGGAAGGCACTCAGCCCAGCGGCTGAAGCAAAATAATAAAATCGCTGTAATTGCTGTTCTAGTCGTTGAGGTCAGTGTGGCTGGCACGGAGCAGGCATTCCAATAAACGCTGTTGAATGAGAAGAGGGATACTCAGAGAGCCTAAGCAGTTTCCATAAGGTCACACAGCTAGGGATGGCTCTCCCTAGAGTGGGCTCACTGGTTTACAGCATCTCCTGAGAGGCCTTCCCTGACCCCCTGTTGAAAATATCGCTGCCCCCCGTCCCTCCATATGCACAACAGCAAATTCTGGCTCACCTTTCTAGGCCAAGCTTGACGGCGACCTCTGCCCCTAGGCAGCACCAGCCTCCTCTTCCTCTTCCTTTGGCCCTCACAGTGCCACCTGCCTGACCCCCAACCTCCACCTTCCTCCTCCAGGGCCCCTGCTGGCAGTCCTGCCCCCCACTGAGCTCCTCTAGGGCTCCTGCAGGCAGTCCTGCCTGCCCGCCTCATCCTCCCCCGGCTCACGACTTTTCTCCCTGCTCCGTCTGCCGTCCTCCTGAGGGTTACCAGTGCACCTGCTACCCCATTCTCACAGCTCCTGGGCCCTTGAAGCCAAGCAGAAGTCTTTCTTCATTAGACAGCTACTAGGTGCCTGCGAGGTCAGGTCCCAGGTTCTGTGCTGGGTGCTGGGGATACCAAGATAACCTGACACATGGCCCCTGTCCCCAGGTGTGCAAGGGAAAGGCCACAGGACTCCAGTGCAGGAGGAGATGCAGAGGCAGCTCATAAAAGGGTCCACATCAGACTAGGGGTCAGGGCAGCTTCCCAAAGAAGCCACCAAGCTAAGCTTTGGAGCTATCACTCTTGCCCAGCAGGGAGGAGGCTGGCTGCTCCCTGCTGTTAGATCCTGGCACCCATGCCAATGCCTGGCACACACAGGAGCGCAATACATAGTGTGCCTGTATTGATCCCTTGGCTGATTTTGGAAAAGCCACATGTGCCCACAGCAGAAACCCCAACAGTCCAAATGGTAAGCCTCCTTTCACCTCTGTGGCCCCGCTTCCCTCCCAGCCCTGACCCCACTTCATTCCCCCCCAGCCCCGAGCTCTATTCCCTCCCCAAAGGCACCCACTGTCAGGAATTCTGTGTACCTTCTAGAGGCACTTGATGCACAGACGAGCAGATGGGCCTGAAAATAACAACAACTCACAAACGGTGGCATCTAACGGGCTCTGCTCATCACAGCACATGGAGCATGACCACATTCTCTGCCCTGGATGCCTGACCTGGACAGCAGGGACCCGCCAACCACGGCTCCTGCACCCTCTGGCTCTGTAAATAAAGTTTTATTGGAATATATCCAAACCCACTCATTCACACATTGTCTCTGGCTGCTTTCAGGCTACAGGGCAGAGTTGTTCCCAGAGACCTCATGGTCCAAAATCCTAAACTATAATCTGGCGCTGCACGGGCTGTTTGCTGACCTCTGCTCTCCCGTATGGATGTGCCCTAATTTATTTAATGGTTCTGCACTGACGGGCATTTAGATTATTTCCAGACTATCCTAATGAACGTCCTTTGCACATAAGCCTTTGCCCATTTATATGTACATTTATCCGAAGATAAATTCCTGTAAGTGGAAAATTCTGGTTCAAACCATGTGCAATTTTGATGGATACTATTTCAAGAGCTCGCGCTACCTTACACCCTGTGGAGCCAGGTAGGAGCGCGCTGTTCCCACCCCTCGCCCGCAGCGTTATCAGAGCTCTGATCTCCGTCAAGCCGACAGCTGAGACACCAGACTCCTACTCCTGTCCTCTCGTTTTGCTAGTCCTTTTTAAATTCTGCGTGAGTCTGCATCACCTTTCTTATGTCTAAAAGACATTTGCATGTTTTCCCCTAAAAATAGTCCATTGTTAACCAAAAGTATCAGCTGGAACCACTCCTTTTCCAAAGTATGGACCTCAGAAAGTTCAAGTTTCGAAGACTGTGCCCGCCCTTCCCCCTTCCCACCTCCGTCTACCCCATCCTTCATCCTTCGGCCTCTGAGTGACCTCGGGTCCAGGTCCCTGGCTTCTCTCCTGGTCCTCTCTCGCCAGCACACCACGGTCGGTCACTCCAGGGACCCTCCCGCCGGCCCGCCTCTCCTGGGCCCCCTGCTCTCCAGCTGACCTTGACCTTTACCTGTGTCCAGCCTCTACTATTGGCCTCTTCTGTCTGTTGGGCTGCAGGGCACACTACAGGCCCAAGGGGCTGGCCTGAGCCAGAACCCCAAACCCCAGAGGCAGGCCCTGTGGCAACGGCGTGGTAAGAACCTGAACCACCACAGACCTCTGTATCCTTCCTTCCTGGTGCCACTTCCCTGTGTTGGCCACTTACGCCGGCCAGAAATGAGGACACAAAAGGAAAGGGAGAGACGGGGCCGCCCAGGCCCTTTCCTTTGCAGCACTTCCTTACTGCAAGCTGCGGCAGAGGCTGGTAGAATGTGCACGTTATCAAGGGAAGCAAATTGTACAGCACTTCTACTGTTCCATTAAGGACGAAATGCATATCCATGAAGAGTTAGATGCTCTTAAATTGTATGTAAAAGATGAACAGTAAAATTCCTGCTAATAATTTAAATTTTTAATTTTTCTTTACTTAGAACAACATTAAATAGCAAATATTTATGATGAGAGCCCATGGAAGAAAGGAAAAAGCTTTATAATTTAGTACCTTTGATGGCACTTTTTCTCTGCTTTTTGCACTGGGCCCTACAAATTATGTAAGTGGCCCAGACCCCAAGTAAGGCTGACTGGTCAAGCTGGGTGAGGGGAAGGGACTGGACCAGCCCAGCATGGCCCAGGTGTGACAGGAATGGACTGATTGTCTAGAATGTGGCTTCTTAAGGGGTTCAGCACCCACGCCAGGCCAGGCCAGGCCACATTTGGCTCCTTAAATGGCCTAAATGGGCAGGGAGGAACCCCGGGGTGCTGCCAGTGGGAGGAGAAGGAGTTAACTCGGGGGAAGGGGGCAAAAGGCAAGTGCTTGAAATTGTTTATTACTCCTTCTGTCTAGAAGGGTCTTGGCTTCTCCAATTCCACTATAGTGGGTACTGTGATGGCCGCCCAGATGCCTCCTCCAGGGAGGCACCCATCCCCCCAGCTGTGGGAGTGCTAGCGGCTGACACTCACAGCGAAGCCACCTCCAGGGAACTGTCCTTGGCTGAAGGGTGCTGCCTCCTCCCAGGTCATGCCATTTCTTCAAGGGCAGTCCAATTCTGGTTGTGGGGGGAGGGGCGGCGCGTATAAAGTCCTAGCCCCCAGGCCCCAAGGTGGGACAACTCCGAGGTCTGCCCAGCCGGAGCCCCCTCTGGGTCAGCTGAGGCCTTTGTTATAATTGCATCAAAGCTCCACTTCTCCCTCCCGCTGGCCCTGCCTCCCTTTTCACTCACAGCTGAAGATCCCAGAGTTCTTCCTAACAAACTTCGCGTGTGCAAGTCCCAGGCATAGCACACCCATCCTTCCAGATCCTTCCTTTAACTTCAGGAAGTGCAGGCCAGTGTTTAACAGCACAAAAATATAAGGCAAACCTCATTTTGAATCCTAGCTCTGTGGTTTTAAAAGCTGTCCAGAAATCCTTCACTTCTTTCTTCAAGAGGTGGAGCTTAATTCCCCTCTCCTTGAGGGCGGGCTGGACTTGGCGACCTTTCTAACCAACAGAATGTGGCGGGAGTGGCGGGTGTGACGAGTCGGGTCACAAAAGGCACTGAGGACTCTCCTTGGTCTCTCTCTCTCGGCTGGCTCTGGCTCGCTCTGGGGGAAGCCAGCTGCCCTTGAAGACACCCGAGCAGCCCAGGTGGCGAGGAATCAAGCCTCTTGTCAATAGCCCTGTGAGGGAGCCTTCTGGAAATCGGATCCTCCAGCCCCAGCCAACACTTGACTGCAGCCCTGACCCTCGGAAACTGAGCCGATAGATGTCAGTGGCTTCAATCCTCTAAGTTTTGGGTTAACTGGCTGCACAGCAATAGAGAACGAATACACCCTCTCTGTCACTGAGTTGTGTCACTTCGGATAACCTAAACCTCAGGCCCCTCATCTGTAAAATGGAAACAACACTACGCCCTCCCCTCACAGGGTTGTCAGGAAGATTGAGACAATGCGTGGAAAGTGCTCGGCACAGGAACTAACGCAGAAGGACCGATGGCAGCGAACGCCCGAGGCCCCCTTCTGATGCTCATGCCTCCGCCTTCTTTTCTTGTTTCTTCAACATTCCCGCTCTTGACAAAACCACGCCTCCCACCACCTTAACGCTGCTCTTGGCAGGGAGGAAGAAGGACTCTTGGTGTCTTCTGCCTTTGGCAAAACTCCCCCAGCTGCTCTGGGCCTTGACACTGCCCAGCGTAGGACTAACGGGGCTGGGGGAGCCCCAGAGCTCCCGGGCCTGGCGGAACCCTCTGCTCCCCACTCCTCGGACCCCTCACCACCGCCCGTCACATCCTGCTGAGAGACCTAGCCCACGATTAGAACTGACCCTCACCTCCTAGGAGACCAGCCCTGTGAGTCCTTCCTGCCCGACATCCCCATTTATCTTGGTCACCGTGGACTCCCAGGTGCCCGACTGATAGCATCCCTAACCTGTTAGAGCAATGCAAGCTCTCTTAGTCTGACCCCATCTGCCTCTGTCCCCTGATCTCCCAGCCCCTCCCTTGTGCTCTCATGGTCTGACATCAGCAAACCCCCTCCATCCTCAGTATCTCCTCTGAGCATCCTTTTCCTCTCCATCTTCTTTGCCGGACCCTGGCTGGTACCTGCAGCCCCCTGAAGTGGTATCATTCTCTCTCCCACGACCCTCGAGGGCAGACAGAGGGGAGGCGGGCTCTCCCGACCCCTCGTGACTGCTTCTGTTCCTCCTCTTCTCTAAAAACCCTCAGCAACTCTGAAGCCAGGCCCACCACCTGCAGCCCCATCCTTCCGCTCCAGCTCCAATCACTGTCAGCTTCTTCGGCACTGACCTTGGTGATTTTAACAACCACAGCGATGACCTTTCCCACACCCTGGCCTCCCTCTTTGTGCCTCCCACCTCAGCCACTGACTCTCGTGTGAAACCCCAGAGCGGGAGATGGCAAACTACAGCCCGTGGGGGTCCAGTCTACTGGCCACGTCCGGCCCCTGCCTGTTTTGCGCGTAGTTTTACTGGAGCCCAGCATGCCTACTGTGTACGTGTTACCGCGGCTGCTTCTGCACCCCAGGGGCAGAGCTGAGTAGCTATCACAGGACGTATGACCTGCAGAGCCTAAAACATTTGCTACTCGGCCCTTAAAGAAAGTTTGCTGACCTCCAGACGTTGTCAAATTGTCTATGTTCTTTGTCTGCATCGTTTCTAGTCCAAGCATTCACCCTCTGACCATCAAACGCTGCTCCCAGCTCCCGCTCTCTAGGACCCGACTTCAATTCTTCACCCCACCAGCCCCTCGTCAGCCCTGGGAGCACCCCCCCCCACTCCCCTCCTTGGCTGGCTCAGACTTCCTCACGATCACACCCCGGCCTCTCCAGCCTTGCCCACGCGTCACATCCATCTGCAGGTCCTCAACCGTGGTTAGATCTGAATTTCGCCCCCACGGCCGGACACGTGAGAACCCATGCGCACCAGGCCTGTCTCGCTGTAAATTCGTAATCTTGACTCCTCGGCGGGCCCAGGGCCGCCTGGCAGGCCTACACTTCCCCAGTTAACTCACTTCCCACCCTCCAAGGGACAATTTCACATCTCTCTCCTCGCAACTTCAGCACCCCCGCCCCCTCACCGTGGCTGACATCCTTGCTTCCTGTTCCATTGAGAAAATAGAAGCAACTGGAAGAGAACTCCCACACCCTCCCACCACCAAATGACCTCCTATTTGTAGAAACGGTACCCACCTACACTGCCTCCCTGTCCAATGGGCGAACTTTCCACGCTCCATCAAAAGGCAAGCTCTCCTTCTGAGCCCAGGATCCATCCCCTCCTCAAGGCTGACCTACAAACATGCCCTCTTCCTGCTCGGTCATTCTCCCTCCCCTCGGGCGCGCTGCCATCAGCACAGCGACCTGAGGTAGTTCCTCCGTTCTCAAAACAATCACACAAAATATCTTCTCTTGATCCTACGTCCCTCTCCAGCTACCACCCTCTTTCTCTGCTTCCCTTTATCTGAAGCCTTCTCAGATTTCCTTTTTCACCATCCCCACTTCCTTGTCTGCATTCTCTCTTCAACCCACTGGTCAGGCTCTCACTTTATCCCTCAAGGTCAGCAGTGACCTTCCCCGGCTAAGACCAGAGGTGGATTCTCTGTCTTCCTCTCACTCAGGGGCATTCAACATAGTGGTTCACCCTCCTTCCTGACACACTGCCTTCCCAGGTGCCAGTTCCCCCGGGCTCTCTCCTCCCCCTGACTGAGGGCACATTCTCTCTGAGGCTGGTTCCTCTCCCCTCATGTGTTGGGGGGCCCCCGGGGCTTGGCTCTGGGACTTTATCCTCCTTCACTCACCTAATCCGTGGCTGTAAACATTTCTCTGCTGATGATACCACACTGATACGTGGAACTTCGACCTCTGCCCTGAAGTCCTGGCACATGCAGCCAGCTGCCCCCTTGGCGGCCCACCTGGACGTCTGAAGGCACCTCACACTGACGTGGCCCAGACCGAACTCCTGATTTCCCTTCCCAGACCCTTCCCCAGGGTGCCCATGGCAGTGGACGGCACCTCTGGTCATCCAGCAGCTTGGGCCCCTAACCTTGGCATCATGCCCACGGCCAGTGTGTCCAGAAACCCTGTTGGTCGGTTCACCCTTCAGAGTATCTCCCAGATCCGATGCTTTTCTCCTTCTCCTCTGCTACCCTCTGCACGACAGAAATCTTCTTTCTCCTACTCTTGCCCACCTCCAACCCCATCTACTCTCCATCTAGCTGTCAAAGCTACTCTTTTAAAACAAAAATCAGGTCATGTCACTTTTCCGTGCAAAGCCCTCCGCTGGTTTCCTATCACACTAGAGTAAAATATAAAGTCGTTCCTTGACTTACAAGGACCCACATGATCCAGGCTCTTTTTTGAGATCCATGCCGTTTTTCAAAAACACGCAACCGTGCTGTGACAAGTGGATAACTACATGCAAAAGAATGGAGTCGGACCCCACCTCACACCATAAGCAAAACCGAACTCCAAATGGATCAGTAGCCTAAAGAGAAGAGCTCCAACAATAAAGCTCTTAGAAGAAAACGGGGATAAATCTTCTTGACCTTGGTTTGGCAATGGATTCTCAGATATGACCTAAAAGCATGAGCAAAAGAAGAAAGGAGAAACTGGACTTCATCCAAAGTAAAAACTTTTGTGCATCAAAAGACATAATCAAGAAAGTGAAAAGACAACCTACAGAATGGGAGAAAATATTTGTAAATTATGTACCTGATAAGGGACTAATATCCAGAACATACAAACTCTTACGACTCAGCAACAAAGACCAACAAGCCAATTAAAAATGGGCAAAGGATCTGAATAGACACATCTCCAAAAAAATACTCAAATGGCCAACAAGCACGTGAAAGGATGCTCAATATCATTAGTCATTAGGAAAATGCAAATCAAATCACAGTGAGATTCCACATCACACCCACTAGGATGGCTATAATGAAAACCCAGAGGGGCTGGCCCCGGGGCCGAGTGGTTAAGTTTGCGTGCTCTGTTCGGGTGGCCCGGGGTTTTGCCAGTTTGGATCCTGGGCGCAGACCTAGCACCGCACATCAGGACATGCTGAGACAGTGTCCCACATAGAAGAACTAGAAGGATCTACAGCTAGAATATATAACTATGTACTGGGGGGCTCTGGGGAGAAGAAGAAGAAGAAGAAGAAAAACGAGAAGATTTGCAATTAGCTCAGGTGCCAATCTTTAAGAAAAAAAACAACAACCCAGATGATAACAAGTGTGGGTGAGGATACAGAGAAAATAGAACCCTCATACACCACTGTTGGGAGAATAAACTGGCCGCTGTGCAAAACAGTTTGGCAGTTTCTCAATAAGTTGGATGTCGAGTTACCATATGACCCAGCAATTCCACTCCTAGACATATACCTCAAAGAGTTGAAGCCTGTACTCAAATAAATACTTTACACGAATGTTCAAGCAGCATTACTCACAATGCCAATAGGTGGAAACAACCCAAATGTCCATCAGCAGATGAGTGGAAAAATCAAATTGTGGTATATCCATACAATGGAGTATTATTCAGCCATGAAAAGGAATGATGTACTAACGCATATGATGACATAGATGAACCTTGAAAACATTATGTTAAGTGAAAGAAGCCAGACAAAAAAGGCCACATATTGTCCGATCACATTTATATGAAATATCTAGAATAGCTAAATCTAGAGGCAGAACATAGACTGATGGTTGCCAGAGGCTGGTGAAGGGGTAACGGGGAGTAACTAGTTAATGGATACAGGTTTCCCTTGGTGGTGATGAGAATATTCTGGAAGAGGTAGAGGTGGTACTTGCACAATACCATGAATGCACTAAACGCCACTGAATGGTATACTTTAAAATGATTAATTTCACGTTGCATGATTTCACTTTAATAAAAAAAAAATGAGAAATAAACAACCCACGAAGCCCCTCTGAGGACCGTGCGCTGGCCTCCCGCTGCCTGGGGCACTCTTCCCCAGATGCTGCAGGCTGACCTTCTGCATGTTCAGGTCCCTGCTCATAGGTCACCTCCTGAGAGGCCTTCCCTGACGCCTCGATTTAAAACGTCACTGCTCCCCATCCCTCCACACGAGAGCACATTCTTGCTCACCGGTCAAGGCCAAGCTTGATGGCTACCTCCACCCTAGACAGGACTAGCCACTTCCTCTTCTCCTCCTTGCGCTGGAGTCTGTCTGCTCGGCTAGGCTACAGTTCCTCAAGGACGGAACAGGTCTGTGCTCCCCAGAGCGCCCGGCCCAGCAGCCCCTCCCCGGCATGGAGCAGAGGCTCCGTGAGAGCCTGCGGCTTGAAGTGAAGGTGGTCTGGTTCCCCAGGACACAGCCACTCTTCTCCCCTCAGGGAGAGATTGTGGCTACAATGTTCACCACCCTGGTTCCCCACCCGGCTGGCCTGGAGGAGCCAGGATACGGGGAATCCGAGCCTCACCTGGAGCTCCCAGAAGATGCTACGTGTGTGCCGGTGGTAGTAGTGTCTCAGGGGAATGTACTCCAGGCCCTCTTGGTTTGTCTTCAGGTAGTTCTCCACGTGCTTGAAGAACCACGGCTTGTAGTAATTGCCAATGCTATTCAGCTGCAATGACAGAGGGCACTGTGTCAGCCCACAGACAAGCCCCAAATGTCCCCAGGGTGTAACAGCGATCCAGCTTCTGCTCGCGCTCCTGGCCTTTTCAAAGCTCTTTCCTGTCTATTAGCGCCTCCGGACTCCTGGGACTGGTGAGGCGAAGGCACCGGGGGTTCTCCAGCAGAGAGCGGAGGCTCACAGATGCTGAGTGGTGTGCCCAGGCCCAACAGCTGGTTCGTGCCGGTCCGGCGAGCTCAGCGACCCCGCCCAGTCTGCTGCTCCTTCTCACCCAGAGGACTGAAGCGCAAATGCTAAATGCTGTCCCCACAAAGCAGGGCCCCGTGCAGGGAGCGCCTCCCTGACTTCCACACAGACACTGAGCGTCGGCCGTGTCCCTGGGCCCGTGGCCAGAAGCACCAACTGACCCCTGTAGCCTCACCCTCCAGGGGCGACTACTGAAACCAATGTGTATTCATTAGGTTTTATTTTTTGTGTATATATACTGATTTATAAAAATGGGACCATCCTGCGCATACTGTTTGCCAACTTGGTTTTTCTACTTTTAACATGCCAAGCTGATCCTGGGCAGGTTTTTTAGCCTCTCTGAGCCTCATTTTCTGCACTGGCAAAATGGAGACATCATTGCCCCCTGGAGAGGTTGGGAAGACTTTTTAAAAGAGATAACGCAGAAAGTGCCAAGCGGGGTGCATGCCCATAGTGGGGGCACAGTACTCAGTTCCAGCCCTTCTCACAGGTCTGCCCGCATCCCCTCGCCAGCACCTCCAACCTGGAGCCAGGCAACCCTCTGGCCTCCATCTCTAGCAGCCAACACTCACAGCTTCTCTGGGTTGTGACTTCTTGTGCAGGCCCACTCTGCTGACAGGCCACCCTGCAGGAGGAAGCCAGGAGCCACGATGCGCCAGGAAACTGAGCTAAAGAGCCTGCTTGTCCCAATCAGTTTTAGTGTGGATACTGTAGGGCGGGGCAAAACACCATATGCTGCTTCTGCCTGCTAATGCAAAGGAGAACAAAACCCACCAAGGACAGAGCAACTGACCTAACCTCAGGTGGGCCCTGGCCACACACCTGGCAGTGGCCCCAGCTGCAGAATGAAATCAAGACTCAGGGGCACCTGGAACCGTTACTGCCAGAGAAGCCCAGGATACGATGAAGAATGCAGATGGTGCGTCTCTCCCAGGGCACACAGCTGGGGCAGCCAGGAGGCCGAGTGGTTCCAGCTGAAGCACCTGGATTCCAGCCCAAGCTCTTACACAACAAGCCACTTCCCATCTCTGGGCCTCCCCTGCAAAATGGGGGTGGGCTGCCTCTTTCCACGGTCACAGTGAGCCTTCCACTGGACAGCGCCTGCAGAGGGCCCGTCACAGTGCCTGGCACACAGGGACAAATTCTTGAGCAGCCTGCCAAATGGGAATGTTTGGAAGAAATGCTCCTCTAATGAAATGCCCCTAAGTCTACTGGCATCGACCACTCTCCTCCCTCAATACTGTTCCCGTTGGCATCAGGGTCTTGCTCACTGGGACACTTTGCAAAACCTGGTGGCCTGGCCCCTCTGCCACCGACACCAGGTGAGCCTCTGGCTAAGACCTCGGTCCTCTCCTTGGGAAATAAGGGGCAGGATGTTCAAACATTTCAAAAGCTGTACAAACCCCTCTGCCCGATTATAACCTTAGGCGGCATCTAAAACATCAAAGAGATGACACAAGAGCCACTTTGGATACAGTGGGGGTGGTGATTCCCCCGGTCCCCTCCCTTAACTTATCACCACCGGCAGCCTCTAAGGGAACACCTCGGAGAAGTTGGAAAACCCTGCACTAGGTGTCCTTGCGAGGTGCCACACCCTGACGGGACTTCAGCCCGGCTCAAGAAGGGCCAGGGCCTGGGGTGCGCCAGAGTGCAGGGGCTCCATGTCCAGTGCTCCCACTCCTGTTCCAGGGTCCCAGCCTCCAGCACTCACCAGTGTCCCACAAGGAATGGTCTCGATGAACGCTTGCAGATGATGCTAAATTCTAGAAGCTGACATGGAGGGAAACGAACACTGAACTAAGAGTCAGAGACCCGAATTTAAATGTGCCCCATGCTGGCTGTGTGTCCTCAGAGGAGTCTCTTTCCCTCTCTGGGCCTCATTTTCTTATTTGAAGAGGGGATCGGTCCCGATGATTTTCAAGTACTTTCCAATTTTAAAACATTTTCAGTATACACATATAGATGAAGAGCCTTAAGAGGGACTATCCTTGATGTACAAATTCTACTTTAAGATATTCAAATTACAGACAAAGATCTTCATTGCTACATTAACTAAAATAATGAAAAACTGGAAGCAACTCAAATGTCCAACTCCTGGGCAGTGGTTTAGTAACAGGGCATTTGCTGAGAGCAGGGCCTGCAGACGGCAACTATGACGGCTTTGAGGGCAATGTAACAACACGGGGACACGCCTGTCACACGAAACCAGAAACACGAACTTGCATGGCGACCGCAACTGAAGACAAACAAACTCAAAAGCAGTGCAACGAGACGTTCAACCTCAAAAGCGCCCTGGGAGTTGCAGAATAAAACGGGATTCTATTTTCAACCCTATCAGATCGGCAAGCTGAAAAAGCGATCGGATCTGCTGCTGGCGAGAGCCTGGGGAGGCTGACCGCCCATGGCTGCCGGATGCCAGCAGATGCCAACCTTCCTCGAGAGCTGCGTGGGTGTAGCATCATCATTTAATGTGCTCAAACCTTTGGGTCAGAAACTCCATTTTTTGGATACAATCCTACAGAAATGCTTGTAGAAGAGGCCGAGGAGAGATGTGAGAGAATTTTCAACGTAATCTTATTTGTAAGAGCAAAACATTTCAAGCAATAAAAATGCTCATCAGTAAGCAATGCGTTAGGTCAATTATCTCCATGCAACAATGGGACCCTATGGAATACAAAGAGGGCGTGTCCACGCACCCACGCACGCACGCACGCACGCACGCACACACACGCATGGGTCTGGAAGAATGCAGTGTTACAAGTGGTTACCATGGGTGTGTGCCTGGGTGAAGAGACACACTTCAACTTTTTCTTTATATATTTCAACTTCGTTATACTACTTTTGTAATTTAAAAAGTTAAAAAAAAAAAGCCATGCACCAAAAAGAGAGAAAATAAATATAACAAACACGTTAGCAAGAGCTGGCTTTGGGTCATGTTTACAGATAGTTTGTTCTTTCCTTGTGTTGACACTTTCCAAGTCTCTCATAATAAGCACAAATCCTTTCTCAATGGAGAAAAAACTGCTATTAAAAATTATGGGGCCAGGGGCCGGCCCGGTGGCACAGTGGTTAAGTGTGCACGTTCTGCTTTGGCAGCCTGGGGTTGGCCAGTTCAGATCCTGGGAGCGGACATGGCACCGCTTGGCAAGCCATGCTGTGGCAGGCGTCCTACATATAAAGTAGAGGAAGATGGGCACGGATGTTAGCTCAGGGCCAGTCTTCCTCAAAAAAAAAGAAAATTATGGGACCAGCCCCGTGAATGAGTGGTTAAGTTTATGCTCTCTGCTTTGGGGGTCTGGGGTTTGTGGTTCGGATCCTGGGCACAGACCTACACACCACTCATCAAGACATACTGTGGCAGGGTCCCACATACAAAATAGAGGAAGATGGGCACAGATGTTAGCTCAGGGACAATCTTCCTCACCAAAAAAAAAAAAAAAAAAAAGAATCATGTAGTGTAAGTCGAAGGAGTGTCTATCTGGATTCCAAGACATCAGAGCAATCCCTCTAATCCTGGCTCTGTCACCTTGTAGAAGCTCACACGACCTCCTGAAACCTCAGTCTCCTCATCTACAAACTGGTGTTGGGGTGAGGACCGAGACTACACCCATCCAGAGACATGCACGAGCCTGGCAGGTGGTAGGGGCACAGGAAAAGGGGGCTTCTGTCTCTGCCTGAGACAGCTTGCTGCCGAACCCCAGGTGGGCTGACCCGGGCTGCAGCTCCATGAAGTGGCTGCCAGGGTCAGGGTGGGGAACAGGCTCAGTGGCAGCCCACCCGGCCCTCCGCCGCCCTGGCCTACCTTGCTGGGCTCTGCCTTGTCCGTCATCGACCCCGTCATGATGACGGCCTCCTCCAGGGAGTACAGCAGCCCCTCCACGAAGTCGTTCTCCGGCCGCTGCGCCTCGAGGGCGAACTTGTCGCAGATGGCCTCCAGGCCCCGCACCGGCTCAAACCGCAGCTTCACATACTTCTTGGCGGGGATGATGCGGATCTCTGCGGCCACCAGGAAGCCCAGGGTGCCACAGGACCAGGGCACGGCATAGAACAGGTCAGAGTTTTCTGACTGTGGGGCAGAGTTGACACGTGCTGAGAGCGGGGCGTAGTCCACAGGAGACAAAGAACCCAGGGCCTGGGCTAAATTCCTGTCACTGTCTTGTGTAGACCTGAGCAGAAACTCCACAAACGGCACTTTCTGGGCCTCAGTTTCCCTCTGCAGCTTCAGCATCACATGTGACCTGATATTGCCTCTGTCAGTGGTGCCCCCAAGCATGCATCCTCTCCCCTCCACCTGGGTGCAGACCCCAGACCACAGACTACCCAGGAAGAGGCCAGGACCAGCACTGCCCAAAGACCCAGAATGGGGGACTAAGGACTCGGGGGCTCAGGTCAGGCTAAAAAGAGAGCCAGGGTACATTAAAATGGGCTATTACTGACATTTACAAAACCTTTCCCAGTCCATGAGCTGTGGAATTTCCCCACAGCCCAGGGAGAGCATTAACATTCCCACTCAACAGCCAAGGAGAGTCAGGCCCCAGGAGGTGACAGGGCTCACCAAGGCAAGGCTGCTCACTCCCAATCTACCATTCCTCCTATAACTCATCCGGTTCCTCAGAGCTGCTTCTAACGTCATCTTCGTATTTTGGCATCTATCTCAGAGACAGCCAACCGACTTTTCATCCATTCTAACTCAGATTCTTTGATTCGAATAAAGCTCCTCTTGAAATAGTCCGGCCTTGACTGGGCTTTACCAAGAGGACAGCGCTGCAGGGTCTCTGCTCACGCCGCACGCCCTTGGTGTGGGGTGGCAGGGTGCAGCGGGATGGGGGAGCTAGAGCAGGAACGCTCCGCAGCAGGCCCGCAGAAGCCTCTAGAACTGCAGAGTGGTCTGACCGATCCCATCGGGGCCACCACCCAACCCCACGGGCACATCGCAGCAGTCACAGCCGGCATCTGCAGTGCCCAGCTCTGTGCTCGGAGCTGCGCACATGGCATCTATGCCTCCTTCTGAAGACGCGTCTGTCAGATGAGGACACTGCGCCTCAGGGAAGAGAAGTAATTCACGAGCATCGGCCTCCCTTCTCGGCTGGGAATGTACAGGCTGGAAGGCAGGCCAGGCAAGCGTGTAGGGCAACGAGCTGAACTGAGGTGAATCCTGAAAGGCGTCTCTCTTGCCCAAGACCAGAGCTCCCAGGCCTTGAGCCCTGCCCCGGACTCCTCTGCGGCCAACGACTCTGGGGCTCTCTGGAACCTCCGCTGCTTAAGGACTGGACTGTCCTCCCCATTCCAGGGGCCCCTTCGATATGCCAGGAGAAATCTGAGTTTATTTATCGTTTTGATCCTGTCCCACTCCTTAGGGCAACATGCCTTAAATGTTTGTGTCCCACTTTGGGTAGCAAAAGTGTCTTTTACTTTCCCAAAACAGGCCCTCTTATCGCTCTTAGTTCCCCCTCACGACATCTGATGTAGAGCTTTGATGCTGAGGCCCGACTTCCTCCAGAGACGCAGCATGGTGTAATGAATGGCTAAGGGCAATGATCTGGGAGCCCGATAACCTGGGTTTGAATCACACCTGTGTGAGATTTACTAGCTGTGTGAACTTGGGCAGGTTTATCAACTTCTCTGTGCTTTAGTCTCCCATCTGTAAAATGTGTCTAATAATAGTACCCACCTCATAAACTTGAAGGATTAAATACCTTAACATATACAAAGCATTTACAACAGTGTCTGAGCACATAAAAGGGCTATATAAATCTTTGTAATTATTATGGGTTCAGATCAGACTGAACAAGTGTGTTTGAAATGAAGCACCCCAGGGGAGCCATCTCCCCCACCCCAGGGTGCTTGATGCCCAGGGCAGGCTGGTAGGGATGTCCCCGGTCTCTGAACTCACCGGTGTGCATCGCACAAAGCTGCCATCAGCCAGGACCAGCTCATAGGCAGTGCAGATGTGCTGGAACAGCCCGTACTTGTGGGATGAAGACTCGATGCCCGTGCCCATGATCAAGCCCCCTGCAGAGACACACGTGTTAGCCAGGCAGAGCTGTGGGATGCAGGGTGGGGGAAATCAGGGAAAGGGCACTTCTCTGGGCCAGGGGAGCTCGCAGTACAGGGAGGCATGACGGGCTGGCAGGAGGGAGCTGTCTACTTAGGGAAGATTCCTATCTCTGTGCATCTGGAGGGCAGGAGAGAGCAGCAGGGGCCTAGATGGGAGCGTGAGGTCTCGCTTAGAGGACGGGAATGGATGAGAGACCCCATCAAGAGTGCTCACACCCTCACTGCTGGCCAGACCCAACCTACAAACCTGTGTGCATTTACTTCATGAGAGACCCTAATGAAAGGGGGGTTGGTTGGGCGGCAGGAAGCTGTATTCTGTGGGATCAGTTACAGGAACTGAAGGTGCTTCCCCTGGAGAAGAAAAAGCTTTGGGGACCATGAATCCTATGGAAGGAAAGAGAGACTAGACTTATTCTGTGTGTTCCACAGGGCACAGCTGGAGCAATGGGTACAAGTCACAGGGAAGCTGATTCGAGCCAGAGACTAAAGTGCTGCCGGACAATGTGAGCTGTTCAGAGATGGAATGGCAGGGAGGGAGTGCCCTGTCCTTGAAGCTGGGGGAGCAGATGGGGTGACTTCTGTCACAGATGGAATGGTGGTGACTCCTGAGCTAGACGGGAGGTGGGACAAGGTGCCCCAGCTCCAATCCAGGACTGTCTGAGTCCTCACCCACTGTGAGGTCATCGAGCTCAGGCAACACAGGCAGAGTCCAGCCGATGGAGTTCAGCAGGGCGGTCACCTGACCCATGGTCACCAAGGGCTCCACACGGACAATCTGTTGACACAAGAAGAGAGACCTCAAGTCACAAGGAGGCTGCCAGGCCCACCGGGGGCTTCTGCATGCAGAAGGTGTCGTCCCAAACCTTCCTGACAATCCACACAGGGGTTCCTGCACGGCCTTACAGCCTGTTCTAGAACATCGCGCGGCCTTTAACCACGGTGGATGGGGCTTCTGCACTGGCTCTGCTAGTATTTAATCTCGTCCTTTCAAATATTTTTACACTTAATACTTAGATTATTTTTCTTCTACATTATAGAAGAAATACTCATTTATTTGGAAGAAACAGCATATATGAAGAAGAAAATCATCCTCCTAGTTATCCAGAGCTCTCAGTGCTAACACTGGAGAGTATTCACTTTCAGGCTTTTTCCAGGCATACCTATATCACTATTTTTTACGTTTTAAAACAACACACACAACACATACTTTTCTGTCTTGCTTTTTAAAATTTAACACTATAGTATGCCCATCATCCCTTGTCATTAAATGTTCCTAGAAAACATGATTTTTAACGAACACATTAATATAACATCATGTGGACTTCCGCTTCAAGCCAATTTGGAGCAACAGGGACCAGATTTACCCTGTTGCCTGGGAAAAAAAAAAAGACAAAATGTATGAAACAAGAGTTTCCAACATACTGGACCTCAGGCAACGAGATTAATGATCTCTGAGAGCCAGGAAACAAACAGGTGAGCGCTGCCAACACCCAGCTAACTGCTGCAGTCGGGCAGTGCAGGAGGGGGTACGGGGGCCCAGGGGACTCAGAGTCAAGAGCCCCTCGAGACCCAGGGGGACAGCCTGCGGGACAGAGTGGTGGAGAGGAGAGAACTGCATGGGGGAAGGCTGCAGACTGCACAGGGCGCCCGCGGAGCAGGCCTGAGGAAAGCACCTGAGGCGGGGCCCAGGGAAGCACCTGCAGGAAGGACACGCGCACACAGGGCGGGAAGTAGGGCCTGTCCCCACGAGCCAGGCTGGGAAACCTCCTGACGCAGCGGCACTGGGCAGAGTCCTCAGAGTGGTCTTGCCTCAGCAGTGGGGAATAACTACCCCTGGCTTAAATGCTGCTCGGGCCCTCCAACAATCAAGCCCCGACAAGTTCCCCAGGAACCTAGTTCTTTCCGGAACAAAGCTCAAGAAGATTCCCAGGGAGACAAAAACATCTGGCAGCCAGCAAGGTAAAACTCACAATGTCTAGAATCCAACCAAAGCTTACCAGGCATGCAAAGCAGCACAAGATTCGACCCACAACGAGGAGAAAAATGAATCTGTTTTGATAAAACAGACCCAGAACTGACACAGATATTAAAACTAGTAAAGCAGGACATGAAAGAAGTTACTATTATTGTATTACCCATGTTCAAAGAGTTGAGGCATTAAAAAGAGTAAAAAGACTCAAATCAAGCTTCTGGAAATGAAAACCACAATGTCTGAGATGAAAGATACACTGATTGGGATTGATGGCAAGTTAGATATTGCAGAGGAAAAGAGGGGAATAAATACACAGCAATAGAAACTATCCAAAATGAAACACACAGACGGAAAAAACGTTTTCAAATGAATAGCATATCAGTGAGCTGCGCTGTGGAATGACTTCAGGTGGCCTCATACGTGTGTGTGAAGGAGAGAGGAGTGGACAGAAAAAATATTGGAAGAAATAATGACACCAAATTTCCAAATTTGAGGAAATATTATAATGAATCCCAAGCACAAGAATTTTGAAGAAAACAATACCAAGGCACATTACAATAAAATTGCCCAAAACTAGTGATAAAGAGAAAATCTTAAAAGCAGCCAGAGAAAAAATCCGTGTTTGATACAGATGAACAAAGATAGAGATGAGAGATTTCCGGTTGAAAACTATGGGAGCAAGAAGACAATGAAGCATCTGTAGAGTACTGAAAGAAAAACCGTCCGCTTGGAATTCCACACCCTGGGAAAACATCTTTCAAAAATGAAGGCCACCTCATAACCATTAGGATGGCTGTTATCAAAAAACAAGAAAATCGCAAGTGCCGGTGAGGATGTGGAGAAATTGAAACCTCGTGCGCTGTTGGTGGGAATGTAAAATGGTGCAGCTCCTGTGGAAAACAGTATGGTGGATTCTCAAAAAATTAAAAATAGAATTACCATATGACCCAGCAATGCCACTTCCGGGTATAGACCCAAAAGAATTGAAAGTAGGGACTCAAAAAGATATTCGTACACCCTTGTTCATAACAGCATTATTCACAATAGCTGAAAGGTGGAAGCAGCCGGGTGTCCACAGACAGAGGACTGGATAAGCCAAATGTGGTACAGACATACAGTGGATATGAGTCGTCTTAAAAAGGAAGGAAATTCTGCAACATGCTATAACATGGGTGAACCTTGAGGACATCATGTGAAATGAAATAAGCCAGTCACAAAAAGACAAATACTGTGTGACTGCACTTCTGTGACGTACTGGGAGTAGTCAAAATCAGAGACAGAACATAGCCTGGGGTTTGCCAGGGGCGGGGGGAGGAAGAACGGGGAGTTACTGTTCAATGGGTACAGAGTTTCAGTTTTACAAGATGAGAAGAGTTATGGGGATGGATGATGGTGACAGTAACACAACTTTATGAATGTACTTAATACCACTGTAATGTACCCTTAACAATGATTAAGAAAGGGCCGGCCCGGTGGCGCAGCGGTTAAGTTTGCACATTCCGCTTCTCGGCGGCCCGGGGTTCACCAGTTTGGATCCCGGGTGCAGACATGGCACCGCTTGGCACGCCATGCTGTGGTAGGCGTCCCACATATAAACTAGAGGAAGATGGGCACGATGTTAGCTCAGGGCCAGCCTTCCTCAGCAAAAAGAGGAGGACTGGCAGTAGTTAGCTCAGGGCTAATCTTCCTCAAAAAAAAAAAAAATAATTAAGATGGTAAATTTTATGTTATGTGTATTCTCCCACAACAAAAGTTGGAAAAGAAATGAAGGCAAAATAAACATGTTTTCAGACAGACAACAGCTGAAAGATCACCACACAAGAAATGTTAAAGGATGTCCTTCAGGCAGAAGGAAGATGAAAGCAGATGGAAATACAGATCTACACAAAAGATGAAGAAATGGAAACTATATGGGTAAGTATATAAGAAAGATTTTATTATTATTTACATTTCTTTAAAAGATAACTATTAAAAAATAATAATGTAGTGTGGGGTTTATAACATATAAAAGTAAAAGTATGACAACAATAGCACAGAGGTCAGCAGGAGAGAAATGGAAGTAGATTATTATAAGGTTCGTATACTACAGTCACATGTCGCTTAATGACGGGACATGTTCTGAGAAATGCATCATTTGGTGATTTCGTCATTGTAAGAACATCATAGAGTGTTCTGAAGGGGAATAGAATTTGCCGGCCCAAAATGTGTCTCTTTAACATAAGGATTATTTCCAGCTGATTATTTTTAAGAAACAAAAGACTCAGAAAGTTTTTCTCATTACCTCCACCTTAACAGCCTAACAGAATTCGGATACAAACACCTGTTTCAGGAAGCAGGCTATCACCTGAGCATCACACCTTTGCTCCTTGTCACCTACCTGTGAATTGCCCGCCTTCCCTCTGAAGTCCCTGACTCTCCCAGTCCCCAGCATCTTCCTTTGTCTTTAGCTGAGGATGGTAGTTAAGGTGAGGGCTTTGCCATTTTGGTGAGTTACTTGGTTTTCCTGGGTTTCTCCCATGTATACGTGTTATTAAACGTTTGTTTTTCTCCTGTTAATCTGTCTCGTGTCCATTTAATTCTTAGACCAGCCAGAAGACCTAGAGGGTAGAGGAAAACTTCTTCCCCCCCTACAGTACTTTACACAGACCTAGACGGGACAGCCTGCCACACACCTAGGCCACAGGGCACTATTTACAGGACCGCTGCGGGACTGTATATGTGAAACAGGATGGTATCACTGGAAGGCAGGCTGTGATAAGTCAAGTTTATGCTACAAATCCTAAAACAACTGCTAAAATAACAAAACAAAGAGTTACAGCTCACAGAGCAACAAAAGAGCTAAAATAGAATAAAAAAATTATTCAATAATCCAAAGAAGTCAGAAAACAAGAAGAAGGGAACAAAGAACAGATGGGACAAATAGAAAACAAATCCATGATCATGGGCAGAGATTTCAATATCCCTCTTACAATAATTGATAGAATAAGGAGAGAGGACAAAATTCATAAGGATATAGAAGTCTTGAACAATGCTATCCACCCACCTAATTGACATTTACAGCACACACCACCCCAAAACAGCAGGAGACGCATTTTAAAAAAATGCACATGGAACATTTATGAAGTAGACCTATTTTGGGCCATAAAGTAAGTCTCAATAAGTTGAAAAGCATCCTAATCATACAAAGTATGTTTTCTGTCAACAATGGAATTAAATTAGAAATCAGTAATGGAAAGATCTCTGGAAAATTCCGAAACATCTGGAAACCAAACACCATATTTCTAAATAACCCATGAGTCAAAGCAGATACCAAAAGAGAAACCAGAAAGTATTTTGAACTGAACGAAAATGAAAAGATCAGATATCAAAATCTTGGGATGGCTCTAAAACAGGGCTTGGGGGAAATTTATAACACTGAATATCTATATAAGGGAAAAAGAAAAGTCTAAGGCAAATGACCTCAGCTTCCACCTTAAAAAACTAGACAAAGAAAAGTAAAATTCAACCCAAAGTACGTAAAAGAAAGAAATTAACAAAGATCAAAGCATAAGCCAATGAAATAGAAAACATCCAAACAAAAAAATAGAGAAAAACTGATGAAACGAAAAGCTAGTTCTTTGAGAAGATCAGTAAAATTGGGTAACCTCTAGCCAGGCTGGTCAGGAAGAAAAGAGAGCAGACATGAATGACCAGTATTAGGAATGAGGACGTGAAATCGCTACACATTCTACAGATGTTCAAAGGACAGGAAAGGAATGTTATGAATAACTTTATGTCCGTCAATGATACAACCTAGTGAAATGGACAAATGCCTTTCGAGACTCAAACTGCCGAAGCTCACCAAGAAGAAACAAACTGAAGGGCCCTGTATCTATTTTAAAAATTTAATTTGTGGTTAAAAACTCGCTCACAAAGAAAAGTCCAGGCCCAGATAGATGGCTTCGCTGGTTAATTCCGCTAATTACTGAATAAAGAAATAAAACCAATTCTATACAAACTCCTCCAGAAAAATGAAAAGGAAGGAATACCTCTGAGCTCATTCTTATGGACTGATTATTATAAAGCTACAGTAATCCAGACAGCGTGGTATTGGCATACGGATGAGCAAACAGATCAGTACAACAGAAGAGTCCAGAAATAGAACTACGGACATGGACAACTGATTTTCAACAAAGGTACAAAGGAAATGCAGCGGACAAAGGATCATCTTTTCAACAAAACAGGCTGGAACAATTGGAAATCCACATGTAAAACAAATTTTTTTGGACCCATATCTCACATCATATGCAAAAATTAACTTAAAATGAATCATAGTCCTACATGTAAAACCTAAAACTATAATACTTCTAGAAGAAAACAGAAGAGAAAACCTTTGGGACATGCAGTAGGGTTAAGATTTCTTAAATAAGACAGCAAAAGCACAATCTATAAAAAACTGGACTTCATCAAAATTAACAATGTTTGGTATTCAAAAGGCAAGCCAAAGACTGGGAGAAAATATTTGCAAATCACGTAGCTGATGAAAGACTTGTTTCTATAATACATAATAAGAAAAAGAAAACAATAAAAAAAATTTGGCGAAAGATTTGGACAGGCACTTCACCAGAGAAGATATACAAATGGAAAATAAGCACATGAAAAGATGCTCATCATCAGTCATTAGGAAAATGCAAGTTAGAACCACACTGAGAGACCGCTCCACACCTATTAGAACGGCCAAAATTCAGCCTAACCGGAAAGTTCCTGACGATGTGGAGCAACTGGAATGCTGATAGGAAAGGAAAATGCTACAACCACTTCAGAAGACAATTTGGCACTTTCTTTAGAAAGTTACCCGCACAGCTACCATACGATCTGGCCAATCCACTCCCAGGTATCCACCCAAGAGAAGGAAAGCGTATGTCCACACAAAGACTGCATATAAATGTTCCCGCCCCTTTATCTGTGACAGCCCCGAAGTGGACACAGCCCCAGTGTCCAGCACCAAGTGAATGAATCAACAACTGTGATGTATGCATACAACAGAACACTATTCAGCAAGAAAACAGAACGCACTTCTGCCACTTGCCTCAACATGGACGAAGCTCAAAATAAGTATGCTGAGTATAAGAAGCCAGACCAAAAAAAAAGAAAAAAGGATCACATAATGCATGACTCCATTTATATAAAACTCTAAATACAAACTAATTTATAGTGAAGGAAAGCAGGTCAACACTTGCCTAGGGATGTTGGGGGAGAGGAGGGCAGGAGCTGAGGAAGGGCTGACCAAGGGAACTTTCGGGGTGATGGGTGCGATCTTTGTCCTGATTGTGGTCATGATTTCACAGCCGCATACTATGTCTAATTTAATACCAATTGTACACTTTATGTGCAGTTTATTATACATCAAGTATATGTCAATAAAGCTGTTTAGGAAAGAAAAGGCACAGGGAGATTAGGTAACTTGGCCCAGGCCTCGCAATAAAATGCCACCATGTGGATATGCTGTATTTAACTACTATTGGCTATTGTGTTGTCTTCTATTGGAAATAAAGCTGTGGTACAGTCTCTCTCTCTGTCGTCTTTAAGTTCATTTCCTTTTTCCTTAAGCCAGCTTTCAAGAAGCAGCATTACCAGATAGGCCAAAGAGTATGCACGTGTCTAAGGCTGTTAACAAGTGGGTCCCCAGGAAGCTTGGAACGAAGCCCACCTGGCCACCTCTGCAGCCCATTTTTCACCAGCACATTTCCTTACTGGGAAGGGGATGATAGGTTCCCTTTTGGCTCTCATTTTTGCCCCTGATTTCCCTGTCCATCTTCCTGTGGAACTGCAGACAATCAAAGAAGCCCCCAGAGCTCTCAGTTTGCCCACCTGTGAGAGGGGGCTATGACCAGTCTCTCCCAAAGCTGTGAGGCTTTGGAGGATGCCAATGGTGGGCAGAGCCTTCTGTGATGACCAGGGGCCTTGGTCCTGTCCACGCTGGGATGCCCTTGGCTAAAATCATCTCCCCGTGAGTCACTTGACCCAGGGGCAGCGTCCCCCCTGCTCGGAGCCGGGGAACTGCGCCGCTCTCACCTGTTTCTTGGTGTCCACCTCCAGAATGTCCATCAGGTTGATCATGATGTTTTTATGAGTCTTCTTGTACTTCCCAACCCGCAGCGAGACGGTGAGCCAGCCCGGGCGCCCCGTGCACATGAAGGTCTTGCTGCCCTGCTCCTTCCATTCCCGCACCTGCAACCACGGGACAGAGGCTGAGCTAGCCCACCGGGGACCCTGCAGCAGCTCACAGCCCAGTTTCAGGAGAGCAAGCTGGGAACGACGGCTTCACGTGTCAGCAAATGTTTACTGAGCCCCTTCATCCTTTCAGGCACTGGGAAGAGCAGGACAATGAAATGCCTACTGGCCTTCCATTCTGGAATCTCCCTGGCTAGTGAGACCGACAGGAAAGCGGAGGTATTGCCACACCACAAAGCAGAATGAAGAAAGAGCTAAAAAAGTATGGGATCAAAGTGCTTTGAAAACATTAACTGGGAAATTCAGGAAAGGTTTTGTAATGGTAATTATAGCAATCATACAAATGACAACCATTCACTGGCTGCTCTCCCTGGGCCAGGCATTATTGTACACTGTCCCATTTAATTCTCGCAACAACCCAGTTGGTTGGGATGACCAACCTCCTTTTGCAGACGATGAAAGTGAAACACACAAGAACTTGCCCAAGTTCACACAACCGGTGAAGGACAGGCCCCAGATTCACAGCCAGGACTACGCAACTTCAGGCCTGGGAGGATAAATGGGCTTGTACTAACAGTCAGCAGGATAACAGCTAACACTCACTGAGGCTTCTTACGTGCCAAGCCCTGTTCTAAGCATTTGTACATGCTAACCCACATATCGCTTGGAGGGCGAGAGAGGGGCAGGGCAGGGCCACCAAGCCAAAGGAATGAAGAGTTTTTGCAAAGCTCTACTCTAAGTGACCAGAGCACAAACCACAAATGGCCAGGAGACGACAACCCATCAGGAACACAGGAGAAAGCGTTCGCTTCCTGCTGAGATGGACAAGGACAGGGAGGTGACATCTGTGGTTGTGACCTGCGACCATCCATTTCGTCTCCCTCTGCTTCTAACACTCCCAGCTTCTCGCGGTCCAAGACTCGCTGATTCTTCCCCTGCCCCAGGACATGACTTTGGTCTGATTCCATCCTCCTGGACATAAAGACCAGTTCAGGGATGGCCTACGATCCAAGTCAAGCCAATAAGGCTAATTCCAGGAGAGGCGCTCTCATTTTACTGGGGTTGCTAAGCTGGTTGGATGTAAGCCAGGAACGTGGGGCCTCCACAGGGAGATGGCCTCCCTGAAAATGAAGTCAGCTCAGAGGAAAGCAGAGCCAAGACGTGGCAAACGGATGGAAGGATGGAGACAGGGCAGAGGGGACGCTGGATCCAGCCATGCTGAGCCACTTTTACTCCCAGACGTTTTAGGATCTGGGTGAATAAAGTCCCTTTTTGCTCAAGCCAGTTTGAGTTGAGTTTCTATCGCTTGCAATCAGGAGTCCTGGAGGAGGTTGTGAAGTGGAGGTGTTCAAGCAGAGGGGAGTTATTGAGGAAGGGATTCGCGTGAGGAGGGGGCAACGGACGAGAGGTAGGATTCCAGGACCAAGCAGATTTTGCCCCTGCCCGACTCTGCAGTCCAGGACTTAACACAAGCTCGGAGGTGTGGGGAGTGGACTGGGGCTGCTGCGTGCAGCCTGGAGGGCAGGCCACATGACGTGACCGTGGAAGGCATGGAGCCTGGACCATTGATTGCCTTGGATCCTGACAGGAGCCAACCAAGATTTGGGGCAGGGGGGCAATGCCGTAGAGAGCTGCCCTCACGACTCTCTGCAGGCCAAAGACAGACGAGGAGGGCCCAGAAAAACAGCAACTGGTTAGGTGGCTATTATACAAGCCAGGTGTGAGGCAACAGAACCAGACCTATAGAGTGGGATGGGCTGGGCTGGGGAAAGAGGAAACCTCAGAGTTCAGGAGCTGCGATCGTGCAGGGCTGGTTCCAGCCCCATTTACTAGCTGTATCATCTGAGCATGCTCTGAGGGGGGAGACAAGCAGGTAAACGGAGAATCTGAAGGCATGGAAAGAGCTAGGAAAGAGGGTGCAGGCTGGGCAGGGCTCTGGAGCCAGGATCGGGACCAGCAAAGCCAGGGTGGCCTGAGCGAAGCCCTTCCAGAGGCTGCATTCTCCCCTGCCCGGGCCTCAGGCCTTTCCCTCACGGGGATGGCTCTCTGCCTGCATCTTCAAGCTCCTGCCTGCAGCTCCTAGCCTGGAGAAAACAGAACATGGAGGCTGCTACACGTGTGGTGGGGGTGGCAACAGGAAACAGAAGCTCTTTGCAACCTGAGGCCACGAAGGGAGAAACATCAGGAGCCAAGAAGCTGCCCAGGCCCGCCCCCCAGCCCTAGACACGGGAGAAGGAGGCTTGCTGTGAGCGGCAGCAGGGGCACAGGATCTGTGGGCGCCGGCAGAGGGGCGGAGTTCCAGAGCTACTGGGAGGTGGACAACGGCCTTGTAAGGAGTGAGCATGTGGCCCAAAGGCTGGGAGCTGCTCACCCTGGCTGGGTGCGGTCCTTTCACTGTAGTCCTCTATTCTAAACCTGTGGAAAGCTCCCTGCTGCTAGAGTGAACTCGAAGCTCAAGACCCGGCCCCAGGCGAGCTCCAAACTGACCTTCCAACCTTCTCCCCTCTTTGCCTTCGATCACAGGGACCCTCCACCTGACACACTCTCTCCCCCCAATCATTTCCCAACTTCCAGTCTCTAGTGCCAGCTCCACCTCCCAGCAGCCCTCCCTCCTCTGAAATCGCTTGGGCGTGGTGATAGTTACCTGCCGCATGGCTCACCTTCCTCTGTCTTAAGATTCTTGAAATCCCTCCAGGTACCCGCACGTGCTCGGCACAGACTAGGCACTCCATAAACAACGGAGCAACGTTTTATTCCCTCCATGCCTTTGCTTACTTCGTTCTCTCCCCTGGAAGCCCTCGCCATCCCATTTTTGTTGAGGGCAGAACCCCCTCAAACGCCACCGCCCCCGGGAAGTCTTGGCTCCCCCCGCACGCACCGCTAGGCAAGCACACGGCCACGTCCCACCAGCACGGGCTCCGCGCCGCCGGCGCCGCTCACCTGCTTCTGGATGTTCCGCACGCGCTGCTCGTGCAGCCGCGGCGCGCTGTTGAGCTTGAACACCACCCAGGCACGCACGTAGTAGTAGATGTCGAAGATGAGCGATAGCGGCAGCAGGAAGAGGCACACGAACACCCAGCGCTGGTGGATGATCACGAACTCCAGCCCTTTCACGCGGATCCAGAGCAGGAAGAGCAGCGCGCACACGGCCAGAGACACGGCGGGCTCCATGGTGGAGCCGGAGGCGCGCCACCTGTCACCGCCACCAGGTCCGCACTGGCAGCGCCTGCCGCCCGCGCCTGCCGCCCGCACCCAAGGGAGCCGCGGTGGGGGGGAGGGGTCGCTCGCCGCCTCGCGATTGGCTCGGGCCGCAAAGGTTCGGTGGGCCGAGACCCTGGTGCTGACCAATGGCGAACCGCGCTGGCGATCGGACCAGGAACCCGCTGCTTTTATTGGCTGCGGGAGTCAGGTCGCTCCACCCTCTTGTCCTCGCCGCCGCGCGGGGAGGGGGCTGCGGGGAGCTGGCGGCGGGACGCTGGCTTCCCCGGCGCGGGGCGCGGGGCGCGGGGCACTGCAGGCCACCCCTCGGGGGAGGGGCGCGGCTGCGCCCTCCTCTCCTCCTCCGTAGGTGGCGCCTTCTCGAGAGGTGCGTCGAGCGGTCGCGCGTTGGGTTACCTCTCAAGGGGTGCGGTGGGGCGCCCCGTGGCCCTGGGCCGAGGATTCCCGCCCCGGCCGGAGAGGATGGAAAGCTGGTCTTGACCTTTGCAAGTTGTGTCACTCCATGCCCTCAAGGCCATGAGATGCCTCTTTTCATTTTTCAAGGTGCTCTGTGTAAATTCGAGTTCCACAGCAGTCCTGGGCGCGGGTAGTTGTGAACCACACGTTATAGATGAGGAGGCATCCCAAGAAGGTGAAGACCTCTTCCTGAATCCAAAGCACTTTCGAGCGGAGGCTGTGGCTGGCCCCTTCCCGCTTGTCCACTCTGCTGAGGCGGGGGAGGACCAGAGGAGAGAGAATGAAGGAAGCAGCTGCAGTGTTGTAAACCCGCTGGCCCGCTCTGCCGGGCGGCCCCCAGGCCCTGAGGTAGGGTGGTGACCAAAGCAGATAGCCCTGCTGTCGCGGAGCAGCCAGTCCAGAGGAGCAGCGACTGTGACATACAAGGCCCTTCACTGGCCTTGCTTACCTCTCCACTTGCCTCTCTCTTCTTTGCCCTGACAGGCATGTTTAGGAGGCTCCCCCAGCCCCAATGTCCCTCACTTCAGTGTCTCTGCTCAGGCTGGCACCTCTGGAATGCCCTTTCCTGTCCCCGTCATAGAGCTAACACCACAGGTCCTGGAAACCAGCTCACAGCCACCTCTAAACCACGTTTATGGACTTCCTTCCCCTTCCAGGCTCATACGATAGAGTGCCTCTGTGTCAGGATTCTTTCACACGGTTTTATAATTGTCTCCATCATGTCTCTCACTCCCACAGACCGAGCTTCAGGGCACACAATGTCTCCTTCATTTTTGTCTTTCCAGGTTCTAGCACAATGGTTGGTACATAGTAGACACTGCAGTGTTTGTGACTAACGAATAAAGGAAGAAGTGGACACAAGCTCAAATATTTAACAATGATCGAAGTCCAAACAGTGAGAGGCCGTTTGTGTAGAACTTCGAAAATGAGTAGTCTAGACTTGTGCTGTCTTATACAAGAACTACTAGCATGTGGCTAACAAATTGAGATGTACTTTAAGTGTAAAACACACGCTGGATTTCACATATAGTACGAAAAAGAGAACATGTGGACAGAGTTTTGGGACCCCTGTCCCGGTCTAACAGGCAAATCTAACCAGCAAACTGCATGGGCTTTAAGTCAGTGCAGTAAATCCACGCTGCACCGTGAAGCACCATGCAGGCCACCGCCAGCCTGTGTCCCACGACCTGGCAGCCCCACGTCTCCTGACTGAAGACGCCAGCTGGACAGACCCACAGCAGGAACAGAGAAAGAGGTCCCTCAATGTCACGTTCCCCAGCTGCATTTCTTAGAGACCGAGGGAATAATTAACAACCCTGGTCCTTGCCCCCTGCTCATGTAGATAGCGTCAGCTTCTCTGAACTCGTTTGATGTATAACCAAGGATTCTTGTGTATGTTAGGTTCAGCGTATAACCTAGAGAAAGGCCCAGATGTACTCTACCCCCTTTTTGGGGCAAATATAAAATCTAGTTGTGAGTTTTTTCTTTTCCTCTTCCCTGCGCGTGCACTGTTTGTGAGAGAGAGCTAAGCCGCGCTTCAGCTCGCAGCCCTTGGAGAGCTCTGTCAGAGCACCCTGTAGGACTGTCTTCCGGGGGATCCAACTCCTCCTGCTGATTACTGAGTAAACCCCTTCACTAATATCACCCAGACTCTTGATTTCATTCGACAAATTGGCGACCACGAGGGGACCTAGAGAGACAGCCTGAGACCACCTGGAGCATCAAGAGGACCCGGCGCCGTGGTACCTGCAGGGCCCTTTGTGCCCCGCTGCCTCCTGGGAGCTCCAGCCACAGCAGGGAAGTCTTTCCTGGGTCTCAGATCTCCTGGTTAATGGTTGAAGGTCCTTGAATTTATTCAATAATGGTTTATGATTGTTCAGGTGGGACAGGCTATTCTCTGTGTTCACAGAGAAGGGAATTCCAAACTTGGTGCTCGGGTTTTCTAGTCTTTTGAGCCAAGGAAAATAAAAGAGAGGATAGTTGGTGGCTAATGTCAGAGTTTTCCCCTACTGGCTCTCTTAACAATCAGACACTGGTTCAGCTTGCCAAAATGAAAGTATTCATGAATGGAGGGCCAGCTTCAGGTGAGTCTGAAAAAAAGGGACACTTGCTCCCTCCGGCTGTTATTGCCGTGTCGCTGGGTGACCAGGGGCCAAACAGAGGTGTCTGAGATCTATACTCAAGATGTGTAGCGGTCCCATAGGGAACTCCAAACCACGTAATTAAATAATTTGGCTCATCCGGGGACGCACTATAAGGTTGATCACCAGTGCTCCGAGTCCCTGTGATTGTGTTAGACAATCAGCGGGAGAAACTGAGGCACATAAGAGGGTGGAGCCAACTCATTGGTGGCACTTTGAGGAGCTATGCCCATAAGCACCACACTCCCAATTCACCCCACTAAGTCGCTAGTTAGACTTGCTTAAACAGAATGGGAAACAAAACATCAAAACCTGGTAACTGTGGGACATCTGACAGCCACCTACCAGCTAATACTCCAGCCAGTTTTACCTTCAATACTTATGGAGCACAAGCTTGCAAATGGCTCCCTAAATGGGAGAGTATTACTAAAGGAGATCTTGCTTTATAATGGCCATTCTGGGGAACTTTTGTTTCAGAAGAGTCCACCTTAAGAGTCACCCTTAAAAGAAAGGATTCAAAACCTCTCAGAAGCAATGGAATGCATTCTTTGTTGTTTTTGGTTTTGGGGGGGTGTTGCTTTTGTTTTGTGGGGAAGACTGGCCTTGAGCTAACATCTATTGCCAATCTTCCTCTTTTTGCTGAGGAAGATTGTCCCTGAGCTAACGTCTGTGCCCATCTTCCTCCATTTTGTATGTGGGACACCGCCACAACGTGGCCTGACGAGTGGTGCATAGGTCCACACCCAGGATGCGAACCCACAAGTCCTGTGCTGCCGAAGCGGAGTGCGCTAACCTAACCACTACACCATGGGGCTGCCCCTGGAATGCATTCTTTGGTTGATATGCAGAAGCTTCTAAAAGACGAAATGACTTCAAAAACCACTCTTAAAAGGATCCTCACCAAAAAAAAGAATTTTTAGTAAAAATTTTAGCCATCTGAGCAGATAAACTTAACTTAGTTCATCTGCCAGAAAATCAATTTGGAAGCCACTATTCTTTTGTATTTTGTACCTGAGACATGGCTAAAATTTTAAAGATCTCTGATTGTGTCTGTCTGTGTGTTTATGGATGTAAGTCTCTCTCTATATTTGTCTGCCTCCAGATGGCGTAATTTCTAAAGGAGCTCTATTTAATTGGCTTGACGTAAATGCTTATATAAATTATTTCTAAGTGTAATAGAAATTAACCCAAATATCTTTCTTTCTTTTTTTTTTTTATTTATTTTTGTTTTTGAGGAAGATTAGCCCTGAGCTAACATCTGCTGCCAATCCTCCTCTTTTTGCTGAGGAAGACTGGCCCTGAGCTAACATCCATGCCCATCTTCCTCTACTTTATACGTGAGATGCCTGCCACAGCATGGCTTGACAAGCCCTGTCCACACCCCAGATCCGAACTGGCAAACCCCGGGCTGCCGAAGCAGAATGTGCACATTTAACCACTGTGCCACTGGGCCGGCCCCCAAATATCTTTCAAGTTAACATGATATAAAATGATCTTTGGTAAATAAAAACTTGTTTAAGTTTTTGCTTTGATTGAAATAGACATGTTTTCAGAGTATCAACAGAGGATATTATACAAACATGTTATCTCTGTTACAAAATATATCAGTAAAAAATAACTTAGAATAATAGCTGATTTTGTCTAATGTCCCATGAGGTTTTTATAGGCAATCTAAATATGATTACTAGGAACAAGTAAACTAAATGGATGTGAGAAAGATCAAAGTTTTGGGGGTAAACTTTTTAACAATAATTATGTATTATGCTGTGTGGACTTAAAATACCTTCAAAACTTTTTGATGGCTTGAAAATTTAGAGTTTTGCTAAATTAAGTGGTAAAAATTTATTGAGTATCTAGGTCATTTCCACATAAGATAAGACGTTAAAATTAATTACTAGGCGTAGATTTGTCTGCATTTGGATTCTTATTTCAGAAGAACTGGAAGATACTTGGGTTTATTGATGAACATATTTTGTGCCACACTGGGATATTTTCTATGAGAAAGTACGTGTTTCTGGAAAGTCTGTATACAAGAAAAGTAAGGTGTATTTTTTCAGTAAAGAAGGTATAAAGAATGGAGATATTTTTGTTTGTTTTGTTAAGAAAGATAAATTTGTCCTAAAGTACTAGAGGGAAAAAAAGGAGAGAAGGCCTGGGGCAAATTCTGTATGTAAAAAGCAAGTGACAGCAGGTTTGTGGAAGTAAAACCCTGAGGAAAGAGTTTTGTGCATGGTCAAGTTGCCTAAGATTGAAATGAATTTGATTATGTGAATAAGTTTCAATATCAAAAGTAAGCTGGTGCAAAATTAGATTTTGGCTTTCTCTCTCATAAAAGGATAATCTTCTTGAACTTTA